AAGTCGCTCTGGCTAAGGGCGTCTGCCAAATGATGTAAATGTAAATGACACCAAGACACCGCCGTGAACGTTTGCAGTGGGCACAAGACCATGTGACCTGGACAATGCAGCAGTGGACTACCGTCCTGTTCACTGATGAGTGTCGGGTCACCTTGCACAGAAATGATTGTCGTCAGCGTTGCTGGAGAAGGCGAGGTGAGCGATACGCTGAGGTCAACATGGTCCCCAGGGTTTGCTTTGGTGGAGGAGGTGCAACAGTCTGGGCAGGCATCACCAGTCAGCGCAAAACAGATTTGGTTATTGTACATGGCTCAGTCACTGCATGTTCTTACCTCAGAGACATCATAGAACCCATCATCATCTCCCAATTCCACCAGCACACCCCCAACTTTCTGTTCATGGATGATAATGCTCCACCACATCGTGGCAGAATTGTCACAGCTCGACTTCAGGAAGTTGGAGTGCCTCATATGGTATGGCCATCAATGTCCCCTGACCTGAACCCCATAGAGCACGTCTTGGACCAGTTGAAGCAGAGACTGGATGATCGTACCCCACCCCCACGTGACCTGGCAGAACTGTGTGTAACACTTGTGGAAGAGTGGAACGCATTGCCTCAGGACAACATCATGAGGCTAGTGAGGAGCATGAGACATCACTTTCAAGCTGTCATTGCGGCAAATGGTGGAAACACCCACTACTGACATTGTCAATTTTTGTTATTTGGGGCTATCCCTGTTATTGTATAAATTTTTGGGGTAATAAATATTAAGCTAATGACAATGGTGTTTCTTCTCATACATTATTAGTAATATCAAAGGGAACATATTTCATTAAAATTCAGAGCAAATTGGAAAAGCACTCATGTACATTACAATATCCCTAACTTATTGTGAGTAGTGTATATAGGTTTAATAGAAGGTGCCATGTAGTGTATTTAAATAAAATTATAAGGCTATTAAAAATAAAGTCATACACTGCAGACATGTTTTACAACACGCCAGGCTGTTACTATGTTTGCGTCATAAAATTCAGTAAAGAAGAATTATAGTGCTCCTCTGACATTTGAAACATTCACAACAATAATACCGAACTCCACACACCAATCATATCACTGCGCATTTCTACGGCTAATATCTCCAAAATTATGCAATTCCCAGCAGAACAATCTAGAAGAATAGATAGCACATCTAAAACATGTATCTTTCAGTTTTGGGTTGAACTGCCCCTTTAAAATTGTAAATATGAATTTCTTTTCATAAAATTTTAGTGCTTTTTAAAAATTTATCATCTATTTCTTCATCAAAACAATAAAGAACACTGAAAATATGTAAGAGTGAAAAATTCAATGATAGATGTTTGGCAGTTTGAATGTATACTGTATATGTAGCTGTATGACTAATGCTTTTCTCTCTGCCTTTCAGCCAAACCCCGTAAATATGCATATTTCTCAGGGGCTTTTGGTCTCCCTCTCCTGAATTCTGTAGCCATGACTACAGAATTAATATGGAAAGCAAGTAAATACATTTTCTTCTCCAATTTTACTTTTACTGTGTTAGCTTAATGTAGATAAACTGTACAAACCCTTTGGGAAATATATGGATTCCTGTGGTTTAATCTCTGTCACTGTCATTTTAGACACAGGAAAACAGTTACTGAATCTACGGCTGATTTTCCTGATTTCTGGGTCTGTCTTCCTCTTTGGCTGGTTGGTTATAGAGATCTCTGCATACTGTAAGTATAACGGGGATATGATGCATGGCTTTCCATAGAAGTTTAATATGTGTACTGGGATGTTTACAGCCTGTTGACAGCTTTCCAGTCATTGTTTACATCTCCACATACCTCAGTCATGCTGCTACCCTTCAGTACTCAAACATTTATTATTCAGAAGTTATCCTCTCAAGATGAGTATAATATGATGAACAGTAATAAACAAGGTTGTGACTGTATGATGTCATAATTCTAAATTGTTAGGCTAATTAGTCAGTATTACTACTTACCACATGACACCTACACTGTAAAAAAAAAATTGTAATTTTACAGAAAATAACCGTCATTTTTTACAGTAGTTTCTCTTTTTTGAAAGCTGTCTGCAAAGCTCTGTAAAATGACAGAGAATATCCCTGAATTAATAAACCAACCTTTATTTTACGCATAACGCCAGTAATGAAAAATTACACGTATTTCACATTTTTAAAAGGAAAAATACTGTTTAATTTATACTGTCTTCTTACAGTCCTGCTAAATTATGTTGCGATTCATTCCACTTGAAAAGTTACAACTTCAAGTCAGTGTAAGTGTGTGGCTCAGTAGTTTAAGTATTTGGTCTTGTAATCCACAGGTTGCTGGTTCAAATCCAGCTTCAGCTAGACAGCTGCATGTTTATGGGCCTTTGAGCCATGAAAAATAGTAGTGAATTACTATATTCTCAAATTACTTTTTGTAGTTTTGTGAACAACACCATTTATTAAACAAACAATTCTGCATTGGCAGAGTGAAAAATTAAAAATGAAAATAAACTATTAGTTAAGAAATATTCCTTGGAACAACAAACTGTGGAAAACTGAATTTACAGTATTTTTCTTGAGACTTGAAGGAAGAGTCCGTTAACGGAAAATGTGCTTCTAATTTTCTGCTAGTACATTTTCTGTTTTTTGATGGATTTTTTTTTACAGTGTAGAACTGCCCTTTTAATCAAGATATTTGATCATAATAATATTAAGAAAAGCTGTAAAATAACAGTATTTATCCGCTGAACTTTTGGAACTGCCCTTTTAATTAAGGTGTTTGATCAAAATAACATTAAGAAAAACTGTAAAATAACAGTATTTATTTGTTTAACTTTTGGAATTGCCCTTTTAATTAAGGTATTTGATCATAATAATAATAAGAAAAACTNTCATAATAATAATAAGAAAAACTGTAAAATAACAGTATTTATTTGTTTAACTTTTGGAATTGCCCTTTTAATTAAGGTATTTGATCATAATAATATTAAGAAAAACTGTAAAATAACAGTGTTTTTATGCAAAAGAATAAAGGACATTTTTTGTAAATTTAATGTTTTTGCACTTCATTTGAAATAAAACATTTTACTGTAATTTTACAGTTTTTGTTTGGCAGTTGCTGCTGCCAGTCATTTTACCGTTTTTTTTACTAGATTTTTTTTTTTACAGTGTACAATAAACTACATACACTGTATGAACAAAAGTATTGGGACACATTTCTCAGTCACTGAATTCAGGTGTTTTGTTCAACCCCATTGCCACAGGTGTATAAAATCAAGCCCCTAAGCATGCAGTCAGGTTTACTAATATTTGTGAAAGAATGGGTTATTCTGAAGAGCTCAGCAAATTCAAATGTAGTACTGTAATAGGATACCACCTTAATTGACTTAACTGTCCGAACTTCCTCTGGCATCAACCCCAGTACAAAAAACAGTGCATCAGGAGATTCAATGAATTGGCTTCCATGGCTGATCAACCACATGCAAGCCTCACATCACCAAGCGCAATGCCAAATGTCAGATGGAGTGATGTACATAGGGTGACCACCTAATCCATGTCAGGAGGGACACTATGAGCTACTTCAGCTTTTACGAACTACT